ACTTCACCAAATATTTGCGGTATGGCTCTTTGTGGAAGCGACGCTCCTAGTTCAATGTATCCTAAATTCTCGTCCGTAATTGACCGCTTTGTCCAAATATTCAGTGCCGAGTGCAAATGGTCATGTGCAGAATATCACATCAGAACCTGTCAATTAATAAATTGTAGGGATAGAATTATTAGTACTGCCCATGTACCATAGTGTTGATTTCTTACCAGGTTATCATCTTTTTGTAAGTGGAATGCACACGGTAGTTCCGTGTACTTATTTTAGTTAATAACGAGTAAGAACATCAAAGAACTGCTACAGAGATGCAAAGGTGATCGCAAACTTAGCCTGAACGCAAGCGGCGTAATATCGGTCACGTCACCACCATAAGAATTACAGCAACTATCAATGAGGTCAGCAACCGCAGGAACGCGAAAGATGGCTTTATGCTCCTCGCAGTAATTAAAGCAAGGATGTATTCAAAAACTTTATTAAAATCAGAAATGACTCGGCAATTATTAGTCAGCAAGTCCCTTTATTCCCACACTTTTGTTTCTTGGTGCTTTTCGTGTAAGAACCGAAACAGCAAACGTCGACCAGGAGGCTAACATGCAACATGGAGGAACGAGGAACAGGTAGATTTGCTTTCGGAGAGAAATATTTTCTTCTACGATGCAATAACGAGTGCATTATGCCATATAGCAAAAATGCTGAAAAGCTGCGAATATAACGGACATCACAAACCAGAAATGTTCTGCTTATGCAAATGGCTCTATGATCTCAGCAAAGATATATTTGCTCATATGTGAAAAAATGCAGTGATCCAAAGCAGATTCATTGACATCAATGATCATCAAGAGCTGGTAGTACTTCTCCAGATTGAGAACGTCTTGTGAATGCTTCCAGAAACGAAGACAAGGTTACTACTTGCCCAGCCAGACACCGAAGACCCCAAGACTGGTCCAGAATAACCTGAGGCAAGTGCATGATAAGGATAAACAAAGGGCATTGCGTCAATGAAGTTGAGTGACTAACTGAAGAGCTGGTATTGCACAACTGAACGGTGAGCGGTCTGCGTCCACAGGACAGCGATTCATGTCTTAATCAATAAATTCGACTCGCAGAAACCGAACAATTTCTAACGGTCAGATATAAATCCAGGTTATTCTCAATTTAATCTCTGTTGACGTTATATGACGATGACAAAACAACAGAAAAATTTAACGATATTTGGAACAGTTGCAGCATGAAACACGCACCGTGTAGAGGCTCCACAGATCTGTGTCAACCTCCACGAACGCTATTAATGGTAAGCTCAAAATTTCATCTAGTGAGTTTAAGTTTCGGCATAGGCTTATACAAGCACATGGCTGCGTATGATATACCATGTATGTTATTAATGCATAAATATCAGTGAAATTTAAATTAAAAACTAGGCCACTGACTTTACGACACGCAATTTCACATATTGATAGGGTGGAAGATCATTGAGAAATCCCAATCATATAACGTATACGATATGAAGCATAAACATACCTAAAGCCTTAGACACGAAATGCGATGGGTATGCTCATTACATTCGAACTAACTCATTAGAAACTGTCAGGTGCTCTATGGGTACTCTGGTGAATTCAAGGTCTGTTTCTATACCAGTGGAATCGATCGCGTACAGCAAATGAAAACGCGCTTCCAGCTGCTTCACATCGTCAGTGAATTTCTATTGGTACACTCCAACGTTGTTAGCTTTGTCGAGTCCAGTACTCTTGCCATCTAGAAAAGAAGCGGATTCTGCACCTCAGTTGCAAGTTGATGAAACAGTGTTATATCAGATCCATGATAATTCTGCTATACATACCACGGGCATTTGAGCTAGTCAGAAGATGCCTAGACAATGTTGGTTTAGAATCTGCTATTAGACTGGCAAGATTCCTTGAATGCTGTCGTGCAGTAACCTGAACAGTGTTGAATGTTGTTTGCAGGGTCTAACGCGGAGATCGCTCTACGATATATGTTAGAAAGATCTACCGGAAGTGAAGAATCCCGATTAACGAACATTTATTTTGGTCCGGACACAGACATGCGCTTTCTGTGGAGCATTTCTTCATTTAGAAGCTGCGGAAGCCGTGATTCGTAGCCGATCACCGGCCTGTAGAAGTGATCCAAGTCCAAGTGGTTCATGAAGGAGCTTGCTGACTGCCGTATCGGTTTCGCCCAGATGATACTCAGAACGTGTAGTGAAAATCTTTGGCATTAAAATGTCGAAATCAGCGCTGTTCAGTTCCTCAACCATGAATCGAAAGCTCTTATGCTGGAGTAAATGGTTTACACTCAACCAGTTTTCTAACCAAGCTAACCTCCATTCCTTAATTTTTACATCTGCTGATGTCACCTCTACCAAGAGCAGAATAGAGTCCTTCCTTACCTAGTCCTGCCATTTAACTCTCATTTTAATGGTCTTGAAGAATAATCATTAATCTGAAACAGGCGGTTGACGAAGTAAAATTATCATGGATTGACGATCTGCTTATGTTTTTAAAGGAAATTTCTATAGGAGAAGGACAATTCGATTACAGAGGTAATGTAAAGAATTAAAGCCACTTTCTTTACTGGTTACGGAGAAAGCATTGTGAAGCTGTTTCATTATTCCATCTGTTCTACAAACAAGAATGTCAGAAGGTTGATCCAGGTGACAATGGCAATATCACGTTGGTCAATGTTAAGAAATGAACGTCATTCATGTTACAGATGATCGGAAGGCAAAACGAGTCTTGAAAACATAGCCTTAAATTGGTTGTTACGCTGTCATTTGTCTGAATGAAGGATGGCATCCATTATTATACTGTTAATCTATACATGTTCGCATCGGAGTTATCGTTTAACGAAGGAAGACGTAGTAAATTCTGAAAATTCAGGTAGTCGATCTTTATTAAAAAACGATTCCATTTTCAACCGTTCATTTTAACCGCCATTGTAAGTCCGTCTGTTCGCCAATGAACTTCAAAAGAAATAAAGAATGGAATCCAAAGAAATTGTTAGCTCAAGTCCCAAACTTTCGTGCAGAGCATTTCATGCCCCTGATCGAGTAAGCAACGCCTTAAATCGCATGTGGATCTCCAGAAATGTTGCTGCTCTATTCAAAAGTTTGATTGTTGACACGTTTTCGGCCGTAGTGCACGTTCTGAAGCAGTCTGCTTAGCCCTGAGCCCTGTTCGAATCCCGTTGCCGGTGAGAAATAGGTTATTCGAGCGAGCGAGTAATTCGCAGGACTTTCGTTCAAAAGAGACGAACTGAAAACTGAAAAACAGACTAGCGACAGTTTACCGTTTATTTTGTACACAGTACAAAAAAGTTGTCGATTTTGTAATTGACCGACAAGGAACTTCTGCAAGGTAACGATGCTGGCAAAGTTTAGTACTTGTACTAGCCGTCTGCAGGAGATGGTATATGGAAGCCGAGAGGCGAGATTTCGGTATGTGCTGCAGGGTGAATAGCGTTTCAGCAACTTGCCACCAGAAGCATCTAATCTTGCACCGTTTGCATCATTTGTTACCGCTGACGTTGTTGCAGGATTGAGTGATTGATGCTTCCTTGACGCATGTTCAGTCAATTTTTACCTTTGATGATGTCGGTATACTCTGCTCATCAGGGTGTATCCTTCGTGCGTGCCTGTGGCGCAATCCCTGAGGTCTTGACTCATTGACTTAGCTGAAAGGGGAACGAGGATTTGCGTTCTTCAAGGAGGTTTCTTCCCGACCTTGGCTGTCGCTGTTGAGCAATGGTTTAAAATGCTTATGCCACATTTCTAGACTTTCATTCTAACCTGCCCATGAGATATCCTTAGTGTCTTGGATAAGGACTGACCGAGTATCCCTTTAATCGGAAACTGTCGAACTTCTTTGAAGATCCGGTTGACTGCACGAACGAGACGTGATGGGCTGCCTTCGAAGATGCAGTAGGATGTCGGAAGCGCTTCTCTTTGCCTGGTTATTTGCAACCTAAGGACTAGTGTCTTCCCCGTAATCTACGGTTGTTTATCTTCCATCCTCGTGGCCATAACCTGCATTTTAAGTCAGCATCAAGCATCTGACGCATTTTAAACTGATGACGTCGATGCCAACGGCTAATTTAGATGTTCCACGATGACCATGTGGTGATCTGACCCAGTGTCAGCGCCGCGCCTGACCCGTCTCGTATGACGGTCTGCGCCATTTGCGCCCTTGATGAGGACTGGTCCAGTGGGGTGTTTGGATGTTTAGGCTTTCATCAGGGATTTGCGGGTGGTTTGATGAATTCTCTTACGAAGGAGTATGGTCCTGCCGATGATTAAGCTGCTTGTCGAGCAGCATCTTAACACACACTGCTGCTTTCGTTTGCACTGTCAATGTGGTCGATGGTGCTTGGCCTTATACCGTACTCGGAGCCCGTT